CGCTACCGCACCCGCGATTGCTGTAGGTGACTGAGAGAAGATGACACAGAGATGAGACTGAAAAGGCTCAGTGACGAGGAGAGGAAGGAGCTCATCAGGCTCGAGGTAGTCGCGTCGTCGGGTTGGTCGTTCATACTGGGCGTGCCGATCCTCCTGCAGGCCATGCGTGATGGGTCAGCGTATGAGCAGGAGCAATACGTCAACGAGAAAGGAGAGCTCATGAGGAGGCTGGAATCACTGAAGGAGCAAAATAAGAAGTCTTGTCTACCTTGCATCAATCACTCAGTAGTTGTCGTTGATTGGTAGATACAGTGATTCGATCACTCAGTTGGAGAGTAGCAATGAGAGGACACGGGAGAAGTACAATGGCAAAGCCGAGAGGTTCCGTGATATGGGAGATCAGGTACCTCACCTGAGCATGGCAGCAGTGGGTGCGGATGAGCAGCAGCCTGTAGGTCTTCCGTCTCATGGACCAGTTGAAGCTCCTACAACTCGAGCGGAAGAAGCGGGTCGAGTCGGTCTCCGAGAGGAGGAAGAGGGCGGAGCATTTGGAGGTTGCCAATGCTCAGTCGTTAGCCAAGATTGAGGTAGAGCGTGAGGCGCGGCAGGATGCAGAGGCAGCACTGAGGAAGGTCCAACAGGTTATACAAGATAGTGTTATGGGGAGGGGTAGGTGTGGTTGGTGAAGGTCCTCAGCCTCCTTCGTAAGAAGCAGAGATCTCTGGAGGAGACCTATACCATGGCGACCCGTGTTTGGGAGAAGACAGAGAGGGATGCAAGTCAGCTTTACGATAATGTGGGTTCACTGGAGGTCTGACTGGAGCCACTGTAGATATGCGTTTGCCCTCAGCTAAGAGCACTGACGACGCGTAACCAGTATCTCGTGAATCGGGTGGATGGGCAAGTAGATGACTCATCTACACTGAAGCAGCGTCTTGCTGAGATGCGGGAGGAGTTGCAGAAACTGCGACAAACGGTGTGCTCTGTGGAGGCGTCGGCAGAGGGAATGGGGGAGGCATTTCCCTGCTCAGGAGAAGGAGCTACAGGGTCAGCTATCGGTGAGTGACGATGCAGAGGCTGAGTTATCGGCCGAAGTGGCGAAGTTGAATGCCGAGATCGACTTCATCAAGCGGACGGATATGTTGGACGAGGATGGGAGATTGAGGCCTATCCAGATTAGAAGCGAGGACTCTGATCTGGTCGAGAGACTCCAGGTCCGCCCAAGCCTGAGAACTATGTTTAGAGCGATTGAGTTCAGCAGATAAACGAGTTCCTGTATCGAGCGCAGCAAGAGCCGAGGAAGGCAACAGCTCTGATCATAGAGAAATTGTCGCATCTTTTGGAGCTCATCCATGGTGCACAAGCTCAGGGCCATCAGTACCATGGAGGGGAGGAGGAGTGGTGATGTACACGTATTGTTGTACAGGTACCAGACTGATCTAGATCGCTCAAACGGTTATATGAAAAGCCTCCGTAATAAGAACAAAGAGTTACTCGAAGATGTTGTCGCACTAGAACGATTCCGCGGCGATATACTATTACAAGTCGGAACACGTCCTCAGAGCCGCATTAGACTAGGCAAAGGGCTCTTGAGTAGGTCATCCGCAATGCATTGGCATGCCCTGGCGGGAAGACGCCTGATCTATTGCTCGCTGGTTTGGGATATACCTTGGCTGACCTCAACGAGGTTATGCGCATGCTACGCGCCCTCGATACTGCCCAGCGAATTGAGACTATTGACTTGTGCAAGAATGGTAAGATGATTATTCCTGATTGTGTCTGCTTTTAATTGTCTCAATCGATCAGATCTCACTGATGAGGCTGTGCCTTTGCTGTGCGAAATGCTCAATATGCTCTCCTACCTACGGCTGTTGGACATATCAGAGAACTACTTTACCTCTGGTGGGATTGGCAAAGTTTCGGATTCTATGAAGGGGATGGAGGGCATAACGTCAGTGCTGGTCAATGATGAGATCATCACAGCGAATTCGGGTGTTCAGACTAGAGTCCAGGTCGGTGTCTATGGTGTGCTATGGGTAAAGTGAGTCGATCTAGGTGAGAACTGGTAAGCAAAGATCTTTGGACGACAAAGAGATGGAAGTCCGGGCAGCAATGGGCAGCGACAATTCCGGGCCTTCACACAAGGCCGAGGAGCTACTAAATGATGCCGATGTTTTCCTCGAGAGGCGAGATGGTAAACAAGAAGCAACCGCCAGAGCTCACGATCTTCCTACTGTAAAGCCTCCACTGCATAGTTACAATCACTTGTAATATTACTTCATCCAACTTCTTGCTGCTTTGATTTTATAGTAAGTGGCGGAAGAAGAAGGGACAGACACTCCGCATTTCAACTCGAGTATAGCAATTTTTATGGTCGGAAACAAGACCATGCGACATCAAGAAACATTCCGTGCATCGACCCGTTTCTGCCACTTGATCTGACTGATCTTTCGTGCATGTTCTTTCCTTCTCTCCTTCAACCGGGCCATACCCTCGGCAACGATCTCCCTGATATAGTGGACCTTTTCTGCATCTGTGCTCATACCCATCCATTGCTCCTTCGCCACTGGGCATATCTCAATACCCAGCCCTCGTAGTAGTAGATGTCTGTACTTGCTATTAGAAGTCAGCTCATTGTGGTCACTACCGCGGTAGAAGCATTGACCTGGGCAATATACCGAACAGGTCAGGAAGGTCTCCCTCACCTTTCAAAGGCTCTAGAGCGACGCATTGACGTACAGCCTGAAGCCTCTCATCCCCGTCTCTGTCTAATTTGGTCTGAGGAGTACCGTCGGAGGTCCGAACGAAATCCACTATGAAAGGCCCGACCGTTATGTTGAAATAAGTTCTATTGCAAACCTAAAAAGGCGGCATTCGAAGGCCAAGACCAGCCTGTTGACAGTGCACCGACCTGGCCGGCTACACGCCGGAGATCTTGTGTCCAGCTAGTGGGGGCAGCATCTCTGCTCAAGTCTGCTATCTCAGCATGCCTTATACGCAGTAGAGTCTGCTGGGCGGAGGGGCTCAGACTTGATATTGGGAAAGCTGAGTGGCCTATGCGGAAGGCGATTTCGAGACTCTGAGATCACAACAGATCGGCTCAATTGTCGGCCTTGGAATATCTCACTTTCAGTTGTACAAGACAATTCCTGTTCTGGTAGAGAGTTGCCTCAAACCTCCCGACCTGCGCTAGTAACACATCATAGGTTGCAGGCCGGCCGTAACAGAAGTAGCCTAGGCTGGCCAGAGCCCTGCATGCCTCCTCTAGGGGTATCTCCATGCAGTCCTGTGAGCCTACAGCGGCTTCCAAGCGCTTGAAGGCGGACTCGTCGAACATGTCCAACAGGAACAAATCATAACACAGTCGTAGTGGATCGACATCTGCTCTCTTTCGCCCCCTCAATACGGTGAGGAGGAGATCTTTGAAGAACACGCTACCCCGTGGCCGTAGCCGCAACTGAGCAAAACTACTGAGCATCTCAGCTTGACTGCTAATAGGCAACTTCAAACGCCACCTACGTCCGCTGTGCAGGAAAAGGTAGAGGAGATTGGGTGCGGCATTCACCATGGCGAAGGAGCGTATGAGGGATAGTCGTTGTTGAGGAGATATTCTTACAACATGCATGGCTAACTGGTCACAGACTGCTTCCAATGCCTGACCCCGCGACCGGAGCATACACAGAGCTTCGACCATCTGCACCATCCTTACACGAGACAGTTGCTCTACTCGGCCCTTCTGATCGAAATAACGATCCACGAGGTAGAGGCCAGCAGGAGAGGTGATGCCAATAGCCGCCAATGACCGCAGCATCGTCCATGCGTCTTGAGCCGAGACTTCTGTCAGAAACTTATCAGCGAATTGTTCCTTGCATAAAACAGTAACGATACTACGGGGTAGGGCATCGGGCGGAGGGCAGCCCCTCAAGTGCAGCCTAGCACATATTGTCAAGACCTTGAGGAGAGTGTGGACGTTGGCCAGCTCCGCTGTCTTTTTATTCTTGAGAGAGGCATTGTGGAGACCGTCCATGATAACCTGTGAGCATTGCTTAACCATATCTCCCACGTTCGAGTCCAATCGTTGAGCACTTGTGGCCAGTAGAGCAAGAGCCGCCACATAGTCTGAGGAGGAGTCCGTCGAGAGGTAGAGCTTGTGATGATAGTGCTGCAGTATGAGCCGCATATCGAGGGACGGCGGCCCTTGCATCCTAGGAAGGGCATCCTCTAGGACCTCATGTAGCCTATGGATGGGTATACGAGGCTGCTCGACCTCACCACCGCTGGCCGATCGGATATCATTGGCCAACTCTCGGACCAAGGACGTGTCCGACTCGACGGGAGAAGTTTTGTTCATTGCAGCTAGCCTCCGCCTACCAGCTCGGGAGAGCTGTGCTGGCACTGAGCTCATGAGGGGGAACTCTGACGGTGTATCCCTAGTGCAGACTATCAGCACAACAAAGTGAGGCACTCCACAGAAACAATTGCTATTCATGCACGGTCGTTACGGCCTCGTTGCTTGACCAGGCAGCAACTTGTATAGCGAACCATAGTGGCCGAGATAGAGCACCTCCTGGGCACAGGGAAGGGGCTGTCCAGGACCATGCAGGACGAAGGCTCTTGGGGCCCGGAAACCCGAGGCCCATTCCTTCAATTCACCCACCCATCCCGCTGCTACTTCCGGTGATGACCACGCCTGTCGAGGCGAGCGAGTGACGATAAGTGTTGGGGACTCGGGAGGGACGTACTCTACCAAGGAGGCCGCTGATACGATACTACCTGGCAGATTCCTCCGAGCCCTGGCACGATTCACAGGGTCTGTGCTGGTACCGTATACTCGGACAGAATCATCAGAGCACAGTTGACGAGATGCTGATTCTTCTACCAAACTACGCCATAGGTCATCAGAGCCCGGGAACGCTGATGGCCTGAGTGATGCTGCCTCAGAGTTCATCCCAGGATCAACACGTTGGGCCCATCGTCTTGCCTCAACTAGAAATATACCCCCGTCCTCGCAGTAGGGGTCGACAAGTACATCCCTCCCAGGAACGTAGCGTGCCCCGCAGAGTATCGCGGCTGCTACTGAGCTCCTCAAATGCCTACCAGGGCAACGCTTATCTTCGATTAAGAGGCCACCCTCTGCAGAATTGAGAGACTTCACTCCGTTACGGTAGCCGTAGTCGACCCAAAGGCCAATCCCAAACTCAGGCGGTGTGACGAAGAACAAAAAGTCAGGATGGTCCCTGAGGGGTCGAGGGACCGAACCAAACCCCTTATGGAAGTAGCACTGCAAACCATGGCGCACCGCTCGCTGCACCTCCGCATTCCTCATGCCAACCGTACTAGAGTAATCACCGTCAGCTAGTCTAACCCAAAAGGTAGAGTTGGGCCCAAATGACGGCAATACCTCTCGGAAGGGTACATCGTTCTTAACCCATCTATACAGGCTACTCCTATCCCGAGCCTTATGGCCCCCATCGTGACGTAGTAGGCCCAACACATTGTGAGCTAGCCGCGAACGATGCACTATCTTGAAGAGATCCTCCGCTGACTCAGTGGAGATAAAAACTCCCTCATACGCCTTCTGTGCCTTCTCTGTGGCCCTCACTACCGGCAAGCCCATATTCTCCAATTCAATGTATAATGCATCGATGAGGAACCGCGATGTCCGGACCAGTACTGCAGCGGCAGGAGGTATATCGCCGCACGAGGCTGGAATCATCAAGGCTCACGTGGAGAGCCAAACCTAGCATAGGCGTGTATCCGAAAGCCCCCACTGTGCACAACAAGTACTGCTATGATAGGAACAAACGATATTCGTTAACATCAGACGTTGGCCCGAGCCTTCTTGGGCTTGGGGGTATCACCACTATCATCGATAGCTCCACTGTCACCGCCCTAGAAAAGCGCGATACAGCGCAGGGACTATGAGTACCACACTCCCGCCTACTTCCCGCTGGACCTCAGGCTTCACTATTCCATCAGTGTTGATCGTCAACACCGTCTTGGTGTCGTACTTGTGATGAATATCCTTCTTGCGCTCCCCTCGTTGGGCGGTATCCTTCTCGAGCTGACACCATGACGAATAGCACAACTCAGATCAAGAGAGCTCGTACAGCATCAGCGATCATTTTATGAACTTCCTTGGCTCTTCCTGCGGCCGCATGTATGCAATTGATAACAGTGGGCAGCGGGCAGGAGGTGCCACCAGGCTTCAGCAGACTACACAGCTCACCGTACTGGTTAACAACAACCTGAGAGAGGAGTGGTACTGCCCGGTAAGATGTGGTAGTGCTTACAACCAGTAGGGCCCCACCGCTGAGCCGTTCTTCTAGAGAGGTGGGATCGGCTAGTACCGCCGAGGTGGTACCATCAGGGCTTTTGACCAGTGTGAACGTGAGTGGGAGGGGCATGTGATGGATCGACAGCGGCATTGGCTCCAGCTAATAGAGGACGGTACTAGGTCTGCCATATCGTGCCCTACTACTACCTCCTCCCGGACCACAGTAGACCCTTCCATCGTGGTGACCTCTGACCTCCGGTAATGCATCAGTGCTGCCACGCTAGCTGTTGCTGCTGCATCGCCGACGTTACCCTATGACTATCAATGATAGGGGAAAGACAGTCTCCCTCCCTAGGCTCACAGCATCAGTGAAGACATGTACATCCAAGCGAACACTCCACACTCTACTGCCACCAGCGATACATAATGCTTCCACATCGACAGCCCTGACAAACACTCGTCACCAGCCGGCCCTACCAACAGTACTACTTGGAGCCTTTGAGCATCCTCTCCAGTTGGTTACATAATGATACAGCCTCGGGTGTTTGAGCCGTTCCGGGCAGCCCTGCGGAGTCCCCAGAGGGAAGTGTGGCACTGCTGACTACTGCACCATAATCCACACTGACGAACAGTTTACCCTCGTTGGGCCTCTCTGGTGGGGGCGTGATCACTTCTCCTGAGCCCACAGTGTCCTATGGCAGTTCCTAGCTCAGTCCTACTACCTGTCACCACCGCCCTAACCCAAGTGCTGCCAACACGACACTCACACTGGCCTAGTGCTGGCCCTAACCGAAGCTTCATACGTCGACAGTCGAGCAGCGTCCGTCCATCAGCCCTCAGCCCAACAGTGGAGGTGCTCTTCTCACTGGCCTCGGGGAATATTGCCGAGTAGGCAAACGCCTCGTCCGATAACGTCAGCGACATAGAGGAAGATGTAGTTGGCTGTTGTTGGAGTGTACGGCACGCTGCTGCATCGCTCCGCTGTATTGATTGTCTTTTTTTGCGCTGAAGGTTCTCTTCAAATGGTCACCACCGATTAGTGTTGCAGAATGGTGGTTAAATCGTGTACTCACTTGTCTTGATGCCGATAGTAGCCGATGAGTAAATCTATGCTATCGAAATTGATATAGGCAGACGATAAGACTTTGATGTTTCAATACACTAGCCGGTCCAACCTTTCACACACTAATAGGTTTCAGCGCGGCAATATGGTAGAATTGGAGATGTGTTAGGGCTGGAGTGGTAGAGTCGTTTTCTCAGCGCTTTGTTACAGAGAAAGGAGGCGCTTGTGTTAGGCAGTAGTTGTTGCTGGCCTCGCCCCTCCCTACTACGGCCTACCCACCACTACTGCTCCTCAACCTTAACTACCACTTCTACCAACACTAGCATATCATCATCATTATGGCTGAAGGTCTCGCCGACGGTGGCGTTGAATGGTTCAGCTACAATCGGGAAGTGTACAACTTCAATCGGACCATGCGGCAGAAGAACCTCTATCAGCACCAGAAGCAGCGAGTTATGGCAGTAGTGCTGTATCGGGAGGATCTTAGAGATCTATTCGGCCTGACAATAGGAAAGATGGATTGCTATATGGTAGTGAATACCCTACGTATTACTCTCTCTATCGCCACCTTTGCCACTGTTAGCTGGTGAGTACTCTACTGGTTGGCTTCTGCACGGAGATGTTCTACAAAGGAAGAACACCACTCCTGGCGCCGAATTGGTTGTTCTGGCCCTGGTCAATCACGTTGGGTGAGTCCTTCAATAGGTCTCCTTATCTTTGACATGTACTCACTCTCAGGTTCCGCATTTTTCTATTTCTTTCTCTCCATCTGGCTCGCCCTGCATGCCTCTATATCGGCTCAGACCTACTCGGTGAGGTCTCTAACCCAATGGTTACGTCTCCCCGTCGCGAGTGCCATGGAAATCTCTGAGGGTTCAGCTAGGCTGGAAGACTTCGAAGGTCTGCCTTGGATCACTTCATCATCATCATCCGTTACCCCTTCCCATACAGGTTCTGGCGTTGGGGGATGGTTTCGTGTCCCCGTGGTCACCGAATATGCGCGGGAGAGTAACCTCAAGATCCCCGGTCTCAAACATAAGGAGGTTAAAGGGAAGAATGTAATAGGGTTGGATGGTATCAGCCGTTCATCGCATCGTCCATTGACTTGAGTTCCGCCACCAGAGTTGGTTAAGTCGTCCATTTCAGGAGATAAGAGATCTAACCACCGAATGGGATACATTCAAGCAGCACTTTGCCTTATTCAACCAGCTGCATAGGAAATGGCAGGGTCATGAGGCTTATGCTAGAGTGTGTATGTGTATGGGTAGTATTACTACTGCTAATAAGAGCTTTCCTTACAGCTCACCTAATAGGTACTCTACAGTTTCTCTACGCACTAGCATACTTTGCCTTGCTCTACTGGGGTTACTTCTGGCACAATCCCCTTGCCGCATACGTTATAGTAACGTTATGTTCAGTGGCGGCTTTGCTCAATGCTAAGATGAACTTAACCCTCAGTTTCACAGAATTCTGCATTATGGTAGAACTTGGATCTTCGCCATACCATAATTTTCGCAATTCTTCTTCATCCTTCCCCCAGGCGTTCCTCACTGCCGTGCCGCCCTTCCTCTATTGCGCTGCAGTCCTCTGTGAATATGTATGGGGTAACAGTTTCAACGTTGAGGTACTAGCATAGTCCATGGACCCCATACAGCAGCTTTCCCCTGTAGCTGCCTCAAGTCAATGAGCGACCGGCCCTCATATTCGCCCTATCGGCTCATATCATGGGCCTCTTCTATGAGACGTTCTTTGTGTAAGTTGAATGCATCTTCCCTCACAGTTTACTCCCCCCACCCTTTCTTCGCATTTCCCTACGTCCAGTGTGGGAACATATGTATATGGTCAACTACATGTGTTGGTGACAATATGAAAATTCTGAGGAAATTTCGGAAAATTTTGTGTTGGCTTATGTACACATTTGTGTATTAACTCCTGTTATTAGTGCGGAAACTCCTGAGCTTAGCTGAGCAAACATACATTCCTTCAACACTGCCTACGTCTCCTTGTAAGGTACTTGACCATGGCCGACAAGAACGGCCTCCCCGTGAAGTTCTCTACAGTGTGGTGTATAGATGTGCTAGGCTTCGGTCTGGAGACTATAAAGGAAGTCCACGAGCCTGTGGCGGAACCGAAGTAGTGCATGTCTTACTTTCCAATGTACTTTCCAATTTTAACGTGTTTCCCTCAGGATTATCAACTCTTCGGGGTTGCCTGGTTTCACTGAGGAGGGCCCTATCAATGACTGGGGAGTGCACAAGCCTACTGGGCAGCAGGACGAGGCCAAGGCAGGAGAGTACCACCCTGACATTTCCAAGGATCTCAAATTCGCCTGCAGTAAGGCTGAGAGGGATATGCAGAAGATCTTCAGGCATTGGGCGAAAGAGGATCATCTGCTATCAGATTCGGTAGGTCTAGCCAGGCTGATCCACTGTGATTCAGAGCATGTCTTAGGAGCGAAAAGAATTGACTAAACTGAAGGTGAGGTTTGAAAAGGATAGAAAAAAATTGGCCCAGCTGTTGGACGAGGAGCGAGGGAAGGGAGATGCCACGCCGGGCACTCCATTCAACCCCACTGGAGGGTGGATAAGACTGGGGTACAGGACCGATGCTGGGGAGAACCTTCCGTACTACCTCAATGTGGAAACCGGCGAGATCAAGTGGGACTCCCCTACTATGGATCCGGGCATATATGATTACAAGGAGACCACTAAGTCTGTGGAGTCCCAGTTGAGACAGTTCGAACTGAAGTCTAAGGCCCTGCTGGACCAGCAGAGAGCGGCCATTCAGGCAGCTACTGATGCTAGTCACCGGGAGAAGGTTAGAGTACCATACCTTCTCTTCCGCTTCGGTAGTGTTGTGATAATGGCGGCTTGGCTGTTTGCCATTGCTGAGACCAGCGCTGAGGTGTCCTTGAAATACGACCCTTCATTTAATGAGAGGAATGTCCATGAACGTAGATTGGCGGTAGCTACTAATGGCGGTGAATCTGCTGGCCCCTTTGAGATCACGTATGCAGCGCAGGAAGGGCTAAAGGTCCCTGAGCATTTCGTATGGTACACCCCTCGTAAGATTGGATGTAGTATTGGTAACGGCAAGACTCTGGTGGCGGACTTTCACTCGCTGCGCGAAGTATACCCCTCCGGCCCTGCTGTATCGGCGTCACCGTTGAAGTGCGCCGTGGCGACTGAGTACGGCAGACATAAGGAGATCAAGGATGTTGTTGTTGTCAGAGGGGATGAGGTCTATGTCCTGCTCGACGATAATCAACTATACTCGTGTGCCACTGGAGAGTCTCTTCTCCAAGGCTGGGGCCTGCCAGTGGGAGTAGCTCCCATCGCGGCAGTCGCTGCGAAGGGGGAAGCCGAATTTGCTCTGGTGTCGACTGGTGATGGTAAGCTGTATGTGGGCTCTCCCTCTACTGGTAGATGGAGATCAGTAACACGACCTATCACTGGTACCTACAAGGGCTGTACATCTATCCAGGAGACCTCTGCTGGGGACCTTGTACTCCTGATGCCTGAGGAACGCCTGATGCACGTTTTCAATTCTCGAGGGCTATTTGTGGGGGCCCGACCTATCCCTCGTGGTTACCTCTCTGGTTGTGGTGATCAGCTGTTGGTTCAGTCTGACGCATCAGCACGCTTGTCTATTCTTAGAGGTTTGCGGATAACCCCATCGCCAATGTAGGACAGTCGGTGATCGGATGGGGCTCAGCAGTGAGCTGCAGCGTTCGCTTGCTACGTTATATCGGCGCTAATGATGAAACCATTGTTGTTATATTCATTTGCATCATTGCAACGTACGTCTTCCTTTAGCAGGATCTCTGTGATTTCAGAGGAAGGACAAAATTGTAGTACCTCATCAATATTTGTATTTCGCGGCGATATTCACAGAATTACCAAAACTTGTGTTCATCAGTTGGAAAAAAATCCCTGACTTGCTGACAATGACCGTCACAATTCACATACTCATTACGAATGTGGCGTGAATCCCGTTTCGTTACATTTGCAGTCGCAAAAATGATGGAGACGATTTGGCACATTGGCACCCACTGCCCCAGCTACAGGGGCGAGGGTACCAATCGACAACTAAAAGCTGTCCTTCCCCCTTAGGGTGTTCTATGATAGTATCAAACCCACCGCCCTGAATGGTCTGGCCTTTACTATCGACAGCAAGGTATTGCGTAACTGCTACCGAACAGAATGCAATGCAATCCCAGTAGAAACAGCCACGATCTGCATGCCAGTAGTAGTAGTAGTAGTAGTAGTAGTAGTAGTAGTAGTAGTAGTAGGAGGAGGAGGAGGAGGAGGAGGAGGAGGAGACATCCTCTCTCGGAAGGTAAGGGACTCCCTTAAAGGGAGAAATACCAGACAAACCACGATCAGAACCTGAAACTAGCGGTGTGCTACTTGTAGTGCCGACTGCGGCGCCACGTGCTAGTGTGCCTCACTGAGCAGGTATGATGGGTCTCAGTCCAACTTTTTACTTAATGGTGGTCTATGAGCGGCCTAATCAGACTTCGTCGACAGCGTTCTACTTGAGATATCATCCGCGATGCCTGGCATCGGATGCCACGTGCTAGTGAGCTCGACAGAATAACTATGATGGGTTTCAGTCTAAGGTTTCGATGCGAGTGATCGACTTGGACTCACTTAGTTGTATGCTACTTGGGGTGACCCCTGCGGCGCCACGTGCTAGTGTGCTCGACGGAGTGACTATGATAGGTGTAAGTCGAATTTTTTGATCCAAGTGGCCTAAATAGGCTCACTTTAGAAGCCATTGTATCGAACACTTGAGCCAGTCAGACCCACCGTATGCGAGTGCCCAGGTTGTCGTCAGCTAAGAACACGCATCATTTTTGACAAGGAGTTATCTTTTATTTTACCCTCGCAATAATTGACTATACTCTAAGATATAAGATAGCCGTACCCGGGCTACTCAGAAATGATGCTACTATGACACGTAAAAGCCACGGGTGAGAAAATAGCAATCCCATCAGCGTATCCACTTGCAATGTTAGTATTGCACGAAAATGACGAGATGCCCTGAGATGAACTATGAAATCATATGGCACAAATTGAGTTAATATAATTGCAATGTTATTGGTTCAATATCATAGGGATTATCCGTGTAAGATCTTACCAAGTTCAACGGATTATCCGTGTAGCATCTTACCAAGTTCCCAAACCCCCTAGTCCTTCGTCTTCCGCAGCCTCATCCTCCACCATCTGCTCTTCTGCAACCTAAATCAAAGAACGCATTCCTACAAATGACAAGACATCCCGTCGCACTCGAGCAGCCAAGTTGTTAGCGTTAGGACCGAGTTGCGTATGACCTCCATTCTAAAAGGGAAACTCCCCGAATAGATGGTGGGTGTGAGTTATAACCTCTCGTCTACCAACCAAGGCCTGAACAACTTCTCAATACCAGAGTGATACTACAGTCTCACTAACCTGGCCTCCTCCTTGTCCTAGCTGCTGCTGGATACCAGCCATAGCCTAAGCAGGTGATCAACATTAGGAAGCTATATTGCTCCCATACCGGTTGCCCCCTTGTTCCATTTGTCCGTTCTGCTCCCGAGCGTTAGCCTGAGGAATGCTACAACAGAAAGGCGGAATGCTGAAATACCTGCTGTTGTTCATTGTTGCTAGCCTGTTCCTGTTGTGGAAGTTGCTGTTGTTGACGAGCTTCGTGCTGTTGACCTCCTCGTTGTTGGCCATTAGCAGGGGGTGGTTCCCCTTGATATCTAAAGTGAAATGAAGAAAGACTGACTTGTGGAGTAGCTATGATGATTAATACCTTTGTGCCTTGATGATGTTAATTGTTTGCAGCGGCATATTGGAAGGAAACAGCCGAACAAGATGAGATCTCGGGGGCTTGATGCCAGTGTCACCTTCTCCGTGAGCAGACTTGGACCAAACCACCAAGCTCCAACCACCGTCGTGGTTTACTCTACTCACGACATGATCAGCGATATCGGAGACAGACAAGGCCTCGACCATTGTGGATTCAAGGGATACCTGCAATTAACGAAGTAATTAGAATAAGCAGAATGTTCAAACCTACCGTTCTGATGTTATTCGTGGCTACCAGTTCTGTCGTCAAACTACTGTTGATGGACAATTCACTATCCACATCCAACGTTTCCACTCCCAATCGCATCACCCAAGAAGAAATACGAGGGGCAGCAATACAAAGGCATCGAATACCATAAAGACCGTCACAAAGTTTACCACCACATGTGTCCAGTACGAGCCCAAACTTGGTGATCTCGATAGTACCACCAATGATCACACCAAAGGAATAACGAGCAGTAGTCTCGGAGGGGAGGGGGCGGGGGATATTAGCGCCAGTGTACGGCATAAGCCTATCATCAGTCTGAAGCAACCTGGTAGAATCCTTTGCCAGGGGCCCTGGCACAGAGTCCCTTCGCCATAGGGTTGACAGAGCGTGATGATATCACCCAATTTTATAGAGCGCACCCGAAACAAGACGACACTAACCAGAAACAATCTCTGGTTCGTGAAATCAGGGAGTGAGCAGAATTAATTCCTCACTTTTCGAAACAATAGAGCGTATTTGACCCTATTTCCTTGACTGCGAGAGCAGAAGAAATTGCCCTCTCATCAATGAGCCCACAAGAATAACCAGAGTTGATTCTTTGTCTATGAGATCGAAGAGTAACCAATGATAATCTACTGTTTATGAAATCAGAGAGAGATATCGGAAAGGGTTTTTATCTATGACTCAAGAAAAGGATGAATATGATTCCGTATTCATCGAGCAAGGATAGAATAGCCAAAATTAATCCCCAATTTATCGAGACAGGAGAAAATGATCAGAAGTACTCGTGAACGCTTCTCACAAACCAGAACTAAGTCATCAAAAAGGAACCCTCCTTGCGCAATCGCCAGGAGTACCCTCTAATGTACCTTTAATAAATAATCAGAAGCCGTTTGTGTCCTTGTTATCAGCGAAAAAGTCTCACCACTACGGAGACAACCCATCATTGATGGGCCATCAATAGGTAACGATCATACAAAGCTTCAGACTGAAGTTTCTTGACTGAAGCCTTCAGTCAAGAAACTTCGTTGGGCACCACCTTCAGTACTGCCTCCTGCGCCGTACCGAGGACGACTGATGCGCAATTTTGTACCAGATGAACCACTCTTGATGTGTAGAAGGTAAGCGTGCAAAACCTTCTTACTGGTGCTGTCACTGGTAGTAGCCCTTCCACAACCAATGAGGGGTACTTCATGTAGACTGATAACTTTCATCCTCTGTATTGGAAGTGACGCAGTAACTTCTGTACCAGATAAGATCGACATACGAAATATGTGACTAACTTGAGCAAGAGAAACTAGAGCACATTAACACGCGCAGTGGAATGGGGTCGCACACATTGTGACACCTCATGTACTAACGATTGATGATGTCGACTCTACCCTAAGATGCTGCTGCAAAAACGACTTGTTGTAGTTGGTAGTGTAGTTCTACTGCTGGCTGATAGCCGTCTCGAATGACGGAGCAAGTTTGGCTGAGAGAATAAGTGGGAATACGGTAGGGCAATAAAAGCCCGATCAACTGAGTAGGTTGCCAAGAGTGAACACAACTACAATGCAAGCTGAAAAGGGTTATATGCGACAAGTTACGGAGCCTCGGCCGGCCACGCTAGACGGGGATCCTCGGCCTCGGCACAGGCCCAAGGAAGAAGTCAATGAGCAACAGAATGATTATTGATTCAATGTTCGAATCGGCCGATGGGGCGCGCGCAGCTATTTGTGTTGAATAACGTCTCACGCTCAGAAGCCTGAGTGGAATGCCCTCTTGACGGATTCTGCTTTCACACCTGCGGAACTGCGCCGACTACAGACGCCAGATCAATCACAGTGCACGATCACGAGCGTCCTCCCCAAGACTAGAAAATTCCACACCCTTAGACAGCGCTACTTTGCGGTTGAGCTAAGTATAACAATCAAATCCAGTGATATATGCTAGCAAACCCCATGGCCTGAAATGCGCCGTACAGGGTTCTAATTGAGGAACTCAATGTTAATCATATTCCCGAATCTGCTGTGAGTCTAACGAGTCTTAACGAGTGTAATCAGCACTTCACATCCGAGGCATTGAATCAATGCCATTGATAATTAAGTCTTAGTAGTAACAGAGGAAAAATTTCCGGGTTACTATAAGACTCTACTACCAGCAGCACCCAGTAGGAGCAGTGCTCAACGGATAACAATGTCAGGAGCTAAAAACCAGCGGAACCTCGCAGATGGTTGCAAGACAGTTAGAATAACAAGGAATGATAGTCAGCATCACAAGCTGTACAAAATAGACAACAGCGAAGCTTAAGCTGATATCAGCTTAAGCTCAAGAGCTGATATTCGTTATGACGGATATAGATCGAATGAACATGTGTTGTTAGTTATGTGTCATTATTCATTGCAGTACTTCCCTTCATTAGTTCCGTTTACGATGCCAAAACGCGGTTACTACAACAACAACCGCTACAGCAACAACAATTACAACAACAACAATCATCAATACAGAAGATCCCGGCAGTTAAAGTGGAGAAGATGTGGAAGACAGGACGAAGCCCAACATGGACTCGATGAGTACATGTTGATGGCTTTGGCCGAAAACAACCGCACCTTGCTTCGCGAAGTAAATTGGATGCAACAATCATCAATACAGAAGATCCCGGCAGTTTAAGTGGAGAAGATGTGGAAGACAGGACGAAGCCCAACATGGACGGAATGAGTCCATGTTGATGGCTTTGGCCGGATACAACCGCACCTTGCTTTGCGAAGTAAATTGGATGCAAGGTAAGTCAATAATTTCCTCTCATCAACATGATATTTCTCTTTTCCAGGTGCTTCTACTACCTCTAATCCGGCTGCTACTACTACTACCGCTACCACCAGTCCCACTACTACTACCAGTCCCACTACGACTACTACTACGGCTCTGGCTACGACTACGAGTCCAACTACTACTACTACTACTACTATTACTGATCTAACTACTATAAGCCCGACTACTACTACTGCTCCGATTACTACTAGCTCTACTACTAGTGGTCCAAGTACTACTACCACTACTGCTAGTACCAGTGCTAAAAGACACGCTTCTTCCTAGTTCCTCTCTTGCACAGTGCAAGTTGCACTTACGTTTTTGAGTATTGCGTTAGTTACTGACTGGGATTGGCTTAGTCACATTCTCGAGAGAATGACCTCAATTTCAGAGGCACTACGGGAAACTAAACGGATGAACCCAGAGTTATAGCAACAGAAAAGAGATAAGAGATCGAAATTCGTTGGTTATCACCGAGCCCCGAGTGCACCATCGGAATTTCGAACCCTTGATTGAGCACCTCAATTGGCGGTTAGCAACTTCCGTCATCGTTTCACGTTCCACCTTGCACTCCACTACGTACCAGGAGGCCCTATTGGACGACCCCAGGTTTTCACTGTAATCGACAGGAGTCTACGCTTGCGCCGTACGTGATCGTTGAGCATGTGCTGCAGAAGGCTTTCTACTTCTCTCTGAGGGATTTCCGATGAGAATCTGGTAGCCTCTCCGAGATTAGAATCCACGACCTTCTGGTAGCCAGTACCACCGTTAGCACTGCATGAATTAGTGAGTTAACCAGTGGAGCCGTTCTGCAGAACTGTTCAGAACAATGATAGGCTATATCATATAGCATGAAATGTTGTTCAGCTAAAGAGTTGAGTCAAAAGAATCCCTGGTCTGTCTCTAGTCTACCACTAGTAAGAAGTGGTAGAAAGAATACACTGCCCATAATCGAACCAGGATCGTCCAAGTGATCATCTTTATTCTTAACCACCAGAGCAAATATTCTACTGAAATATGAAATGTGTTAAAGCCTCTGTTGCTCGGCATTGCGGAGCGAGCAAACCGAGCGGAGCATATACCGCAACAACAGGCACTTTCGCGTTGTACGGGCATGCGTGCGTGCAGAATTATTCTGGCTTAACTACGAAGCATGGGAGGCTATCAGATAGATCAAACGACTCCTCTATATGCAGAGGTGTTGGGAAAAATCGGAAAACTAGATCATGCGAACAACTCGAAGAGATATGCACGAAAAGCTTTAACGATGGAAAAATGTCCTACCCGGAGATCGAACCGGGGACCTATGTAGAATTCATTGATTGAGTCCTTGGACGTGGATTCATTGAGCTCCGCCCCCTCGTCACGAAGACCTAGTTAAGTACCTACTATTAGTCCCAAAACTCAGTAACCAGTGTTCCTATTCGGTCTTGTAGCAATTTTCACTGTATCGCCCACATCCGAAGCCTGCTTCAAGTGCTGAACCTAATGTAACACTAAAAAAGTAATGAGAGAATATGGAAATATACTCTACTTCAAATCGAACCCGGATTACTGGCAAGACATTCTACTCCACTAGCTATTACACCGAACGCCCTACATGGAATTAAAGTGTGTGCTAGAGTCGCCGGTTGTTTGGACCTACCGTACCTACCGTTATTGCCGCACCAGGACCTACAAGAGACTCTTCCTACCCACTGCTGCAGCATTGATCGCTATATCACCCGTATTCGAAACCTACCCCGAGTACTGAGACCAACGGTAACTCATGCCTCTACCAGGAGTCGAACCTGGAACCCCCGAACAGACGCGCGCGACCTTAACTTACTAGACTAACCCGACCAGCAGTCCGACTGCTGGTGCTACTCCTGTCCATCCAACCTGGCCAGTATCATCGGGTGGATCAAAAGGCTGATAACTTTTATACAATTTATAAACTAAAAAAATAAGATCGTCATTGTACTCAGCTCGCCGAGTGGAGTCGATTGGTACCAGTTTCAGGCCGATACCATGACTAGTTATCGAAATCGATGTCTCGTTCCGACATTTTTGGAGAGAGATGAATTGGTATTAGATGCGCGGCTGGAGCCCCTACCCCACCGCGCCGGGTGTGGCGGCGGCGGAGCGAAACAAAATGGTTGTGACCACGACTGAACGCAACAGCTCCCGGCGAGAGGCAGGCTTCCTCCTCTGCAATTGAAGTCTCATTGAGGGTGAAAATAATAGTACGATTAATGTGCTCTGTACATGGCAATGGGTATTATTATACATAGAACGGTTAGGCTGTGGAGAGCGTTCAGGAAAGTAGCTGTAGAGGCAGTGAACAGATGAAAACATCTAATTGTGAAAGGATGCAAGTGATGATGAGGAAAAGGAGAATCCTAGAAGGTACTCTGAGCTTGACCAGACTCGGTCTTCCACTCCTCCAAGTCTTTCCAGTTTCCACCCCATGTACCAAAGTAATGCCATCGACGATCCTTGTTATAGTCACAGAACCACCACTTCCCTCGCTCCTCATACCACTTGTAGTTCCAGCTTGCGTCCTCATCGAAGGTGTCACTTCGGGCATCACAATCATCATCACCATCATCGCTATTACTGTAGCCTCCCTCTGTGGGGGCACTGCCACCAACCCCATTAGTCGTGGAGGAATCGTCTCCAAGTATTCCGGCAGCGGCGGAGCGAAGCAAGTTGACAATCACCGGGTTAACACTTATCTCGCCAGGCCGATGCGGCTGCCGACAGAAGGGGCACATCAAGCGCCCAAAACCCCGGGTCTCCCCTAAGGAGGCTATGCATTCAGCACAGAGGTTATGGCCACACACGCCCAGTACCTGACAATGCAGAGATACTCATAGGACACCTTACATCAGGACGTCTTTGTAGGTCAAAGACGCCCTGATGTGAGGTGTTCTATGGAATAGGTCCCAGATCGTAAAAAACAGATTAGAAGCTTGAGAATCACCAAACCTTAATGGAGGATTTTTCGTATCACGTGGTTCTCTAGGCTTCGTCACTGACGAAACCTCGAGAACCACGTCGCCCAAGGAAGGAGACCCTATTTCACCATGCTGGCAGGGGAGAAGGAAGAGGCCGCATCTTCTACTCACTACGAACCTACCTTAGGTACATGGTTTTGAAGGTCGAAGTTGGTCGAGCAGTACTCGCAAAGTAAATCGCTATCGTAATAGGAGTCCGACATTCCCTACAATACTACTGACAGCACCAACATGAGGATCTCCATCACAGCGACAACGCAACGGCTGACAACAGACGGGCAAAGCATCCCAGTCGGCATGGAAATGGTCATGTATGCTCGGGTAGGCCGAGACTTTTCAAGTGTCCTATGCTAAGTAAGAGCCTCTCCTCTTCCCCCTTCAGCTCCCCTGCCCTGTGATAATCCTCTAGAGCCACAGCCCTTCCCTTCTCCTCTCGAACAGCCAACAGCCTCTCCTCCTCCCATGTAAGCCTCTTGCTCAGGCCCTTCACCTCCTCATTCAGCCTGTCAAGGTCCGCCTTAGCACCCTCTACAGCCACGTGTTCCATCAGTGCCGCCACGTCCGTTCCATAACTTATGTTATACCCACGCTCAGTCGTCTCCAGCTCAGGGCTGTGTTGCAGCCACAACACTATGTCCCTCAGCGGTTCCTCCTCATCCTCACCAAGACAAAGGGCCAGGAAGGTTATAACCTCATTAGCCTTCACGCGACTAGAGTGTTGCCTCAACACGATGGCCTGTGTGATCGGTAGCAGACCGACTAGAGTCTCGGGCACGACATCCAGAATATCGTCATGGCTAATATCATCCTCCTCCAGCCCCTCCCCTACTGCCTCTTCTGATACCTCCACCACTGTTCTGATGACCCCAAGGGGCCCTTCCAGCAGTGCTCTTCCTTCCAACCCCAAGCTTGCATCATAGGCCTCACTGTGGGATAGCATGGCGAGCACCAAAGGCGTACATTCCCGATAGTTCCACAGGAGAAGAGCAGCCACCCCTTCTGACAACAACCCAGCTATCTCCTCCCCCCTGGGCCGACCGTTAGCTGCAGCCTTTATGCTCTTCCGTAGAGCCTCCTCGAGCTTCTCGGCAGTGAAGGCCGGTATACTGTAGAGGTAAGGGCAGACATTGCAGATGGACGCCGCCAGGGCCATCGAGGCATCGGGCATGTAGGGCATGAACCGGAGTGAGGCCACTACTAGTACGTCCAACAGGGACCCCCCTTCGAATGGGGCCAACGATATCATCCCCCCCTCACTCAGCCTCCTAGCATGAATCTTGCTGAACTCGCATTTCCTCAACGCTACGACACTCCCTCTATCCTCAGTTATGATGACCAATAACCCCACCAGCGCAGGAAGCAGCGTCCTATACCCCTCCGAGGGGGACCCCTCTAGCAGCGCATCTGCCACCTTCCGAGGGATCCGACTCTCGTCATGCCCTTCCTCCTCTTCGCCAGCCTCAGCTAGTGCCTTCACAATGCGGTTGATGAGTCCTACGACGGGCAAGAACAACCTCGCGGGCGATGGTGAGGCATTCCCCTGCTCCAACCTAACGATCGAAGCCAGCCCAGACCATCCAGCATCCAAATGCTCACCCGTCCGGAGGCCCCCGTGGCTGCCTAGTATAAGGGAATACTCCACGGTAGAAGCCCTCGCACTGCGACAGTAGCAGCCACGATAAGACCACTGCCTCCGAGGAAAAGGTGCATGCCTGAAGAGCTGAAAAATACCACCCCATGGACGGTGCCCATCCTATCACCTCTGATGCCTTCCATAGCGAGGCGCCATCGCCCTGGCCAGCTATGACCTCGTCTTCGCTCTCCAAGGCTGCTAGAAGGGCTGTCCATAGATCCTCCCCCCTCGTCGGATCAACAGCCAGTACCTCATTCATGGCCCTTACCAGAGGAGCCACCCTCGGCCCACCAAAGCGGCGAGCCTCCCCGAGCTGAGGACTGTACGAGACAAGCCCATCGGCAGCTTCACCATCATCATCAGTAGGGCCCGTGTCCATGAGGACAAGAGCTACCCGTGTCACCATTGCCGCGACCTCCCCTATAGCACACTCCCTTCCTTCCGCCGCAACAGCGGTATGATTATCCACTAGAAGGGTGAGGAAACAATGAGCAAAGCGTCCCAGGACGACTCCGCTTCCTTCCCCGGCGGGACTCTCCAGTGGACAACAATGAAGGGATATTAGCAGGAAGCTACGACAGAGGGACATCAACAGGCTTGCAACGTCTCCTTCATAGTCTTCAATGAGATCGGGTGTCCCCAGGGGCCAGGCAACCGCACTGAAGATGGCACTCCTCACCAGTGTTGGAAGAATATATGTTTGCTTTCCTCAGCTGAGCTCAGGGGTCTCGTCACTCATCATAGGGTCCATATACGAAATGGGGTAGAAGTGTAGATAAACCAGCAAGAACCTCCCAAAACTTTCTCAGAATTCTCATATTGTCACCGACACATGTAGTCGATTATGTGCATATTTTCCCGAGCTGCTCCTCACAGCTACACCCGCCCCCTCCCTACTACTTAGGGTCCTCTCCAGAAAGTTCCACCAGCCCCTCACTAGTCATCACATTCAGGATCGCCATCAGAGCCTGGCTGACCATGCCGGGGGCCATCCTCTCTGGTCTCGAACACACAAGGACGACGAGAAGTGTCGCCTGAGGACCACCAACCCCTTCTCTCTGCAGTGGCTACGCTCCCATTACGAAGCCACCAATCCTATCTAGGACCTCCATCTCTGCCAAGCCCTCTACCTTCCATACCCCATCTAGGGCCTCGATGCATCGCCGGATAGCAGCATGGAGGGTCTCTAGGAGGGCAGGCATGAGTCTATACCATAGCAGCGACAGAGCCCCACCATCGTCCGCCCTAGCGATGGCCTGCCGCAGCGTGTGTGTTGCTGGAGGGTATTGCCTGATGGTACCACTGAAGTCGCTGAGGGAGGTGAAGATGATCTCTACAGTGGAGGCGGGGATGCTGTCCTAAAAAGCGACTTCAACGCTCCCGAAGACAGCCCCCGTGTAGTGTTGACAGACCAAATACTACCAACACTGCGGCCTCCTACACAGTAGTACCATGGTTGTTCCGAGCTCTCGAGCTCCCAATATGAAGCTACTGAGGACCCTAAAGGCCTCCTCTGTCCGCTGCCTCAACAAGCCATCATTTTCCTTGTCATCCCCCTCATCGGATACAGCATCTACCTGCCTGCCTTGACCAAAGAGAAGACTCAACATATTCAGGTAAACACTGAGCCGAGTAGAGTAACATGGTCCAGAACCCAACAAAGGGAGGATAGGGCGTGATTAAACTCCCAACGGCGACAAGGTAAAACCATCTAGGCAATCTCGTCGAACATGACTACTAAGTTCTCTTCCAATCTCCATCTCCTGCACAGTAGAACTACTAGCTGTTGTTCGCTCCTCGCCAACCATCATCAGACCATGGAGTCAATGCTTCCAAACTACTGTCACGACACGACACTTGTTATTACACATCACGAATTATAATCCCAAACTCAGAGGCAATGTGTTTGTTTCACTTTACTTTCTCAAGAATCATGATCAACTCCAGAACCCAGTTCTCACAACCTACCAGCATCACCGAGGTAAAGGCTCAATCAAAAGTAACGATGCATTTATCATTTTCCAGACTTCCCCAGTATCCTCACAAAACTCGACTAAATACACATTATTGCGTAGAGAAACTGCGTCCCAATAACGTGTCGTCACGACACAAAGATTTAGGGAGGACCAGAAGAATATTAAGACACAAGTAACTGACGAGACCGCCTGGCCGCCTTCCCTCAGACGTAGAGGGAGGCCAGCATTCATCAACATGAATAGGTAAACCGAGAGCAATTGCAGTAGTAGTGGTAGTAACAACAGCACGTACAACAGAGTTTATATATTATATAAATACTAGGAACAAATCGGATTGTTGTTGTTGTTGCACTGACAATAAGTGCTTACAGCTGAACATCGGTAATACCAAGACGCTTGCCCAGGTCCAAGAGCTCTTCACGGTAATAGCCTTCGAACTTATCATAATCTGTCACCACGTTGGGATCAACAGTAGTGTTGAAGTAAAACTGGCCATTATATGACATCACAATCACTTGCTCCACAAGTGTGAGGAATATAGGATAGATAGCCTCTATCTGCTTGCCGCCAATACAGCACGGCTGGGTAGGACCAGGAACATTAGAGAAGATAGCAGTGTGTCTTGAGTAGATGGCTCGAGTAGCCTCTTGAGCCTTTCTCAGAGGATACAACGGCATAAGTTTGTTGCTGATGAAATTAGACGTGGTAGAATCCAACGACTTCTTAAGACGATTCATCGCGCCATCAGTTTCCTCTAGTCGCGCCAGGGGACCATCAGCTCGAATAGCCTGACGAAGCAACACAGATAACTGTTATGATAACAAGAACATCATCCCTTACTTTGCTCAGGTCCGCACTGGCGAACGACCAGTTGTTGCCCAGTCTATCTCCCTCAGGTGGGGGGTTGGGACCAAAATCAATTGGAGCCCCAACGGGTATAAGGATCCTCATAATGGTGTTGTTATCAACAGCAGCACTACCATATCTCCGCATAGCGCCAACCATAGCACCCAATAGCACATCGTTAACAGTAATCTAAGCGATAACTAGTAAACAATACTAATGATATATTAAATTTGAATATAATAAATTATGTATTATAAACTAATGATAAAAACTTTATTAGGAACTTAACCAATACGATATTATGACCTTTATTGTCTATATTACAACATACCACTCCCCACTCAAGTGCATCCAAGTGCAACGAAGGCTTACCTTGCCAGGCGCCTTATTTTTGATGGCCTTCACGTAATCAACAGAGAAAGGCTTGAAACAAATCGACTTGCGGTCGCCGCTGTACTTCATATCGCCGGATCGATGAGAGAGAGGAGCGTTGAACCCAAAGGAGGTCTCGAGAGGCAGACTACCCTCGCGCATGTTCGAGACGAATGAACGGACCTGTTGAGAGAGCGGATGAAGGCAATTGCCAAACTCAACGGTTGTATTACCCATTCCAGACAGTAAAGAATGTTGAAGAAGAACTTCTTGATAGGACCGAAAACTACCGGCTTTTTAGCCTTGTAGTTGACGAAGGTGACAGGCTCTCCATCGGGAGTAGTCGCAACCTTGTCTAGCAGTTGAACCTTGAACACTCAGTATTCTACCGAGGCATCAGCATCCAAGAGAGCTTACCAAAGTGAGGCCGTCCGCCACTGTGTGGTGGCATCGGAAAACAACACAGTTCTTCTGTTGAGCTCCTACAGCAGCTGGTAGGAAATGTACTTGCCATAAAGGCTTATCACTGGGTAAATCCTCGTTGATTATCTACACCCAAAAGTTCCTTCAAAAGCACTACAGATACACGACTAGTCCTCACCTTGTCGACTTCAGTGTCCAACTCTTGACGGTCCTTAACAGGATCATGAGTGAAGACATGGTCGGCCAAGTCAACATCAACCATCTTCCAACCATGGCACTTCACATCGGGCACAGCCGAGAAGCGGACGAATGAGAGCAACTGAACAAGATAGAGAGAGATTAGTGGATACCTCTACTGACCCTCAGGCACTTACATTCTCCTTCACAAGCTTCTCAACAGCGCTGTCGTCCGGAAGATCGGCCTTGAAAAAGACTTCACAGTTGATGACGTTACAGGCCGGCCTTATGTTGGACTCCTTTGGGAAACAATCACTCATGTACATGTGCTCCTCCATCCACGACAAACCCCTAATACCAGAACCTAGGAACAACAACGTATGATGATACTTCTCAACCTAGAAAGGGGTATATCGGTGTTAGCCTACTATTTCCTTCTTTCGAACGAGTCAACCTGTTATGAAGTATCCTGCCCAGTACGAGGGCCAGCAGAGTGACTACAGTAGCTGCAAGCAGGAAGGAATAATCGTCGAATACCATAGGTGAGCAGCGGGCGTTTACAAATCTACCAGCGATAAAATTTTCGGCCCGCACAGTTTCGATAACTGTTGATAACATGCTCACTGTTTACCGATTATACCATACCCAAAATGTCCTCGACCATCACAGAGTATCTTCAGCTGGTCTCATCACAGGAAGTTTAGCCTAAGCCATGATCTTGCTAGCCTGACTTAGCGATTAAACACGAGAAAAATTCTCCGAAGTCTATTAAACTTCGCGCACTTTCATCACAAGTAAGATTTTCGTTTCAAGGTTCGCTTATACATGCGAAGTTCTCCATTAGCACTTCGCAGCTCTCCTGTCTTTGGATGGCCCGCAGGGATGTAAGCCAGAGTAGGATTACCACTGGGGTGGCCGATACTATACCGGAGCCGAAGGGTTATACTAGGATCAGGCCGATGAAGCTCCTTCCTGGTCGAGCTGGGCTTAGTACTTTTATGACTCATATAATAGCAATGATCACCAGATGTACTATTAGAGCGGGCGTGGCCGTTGGGGATAGGCATACCTCTGCGGGTAGCGGTGCATATTATCCTTATCTAGCCGTATAATAGTTCGTGGAAAAGATGTGAGAAATATTAATACTATTAATATTCAATATTTTTATCCTATTAATTTAATAGGATTTCTTACCTCTCTCGTAACTCGACGGACCATGCTATACAAATGGTAGGTAGTACTGGAATTACGTCAATACCTGCTTCGTCCGCTGAGGGATCTTAATATATCACATACACGTAGTGGTGGCTCTATTCAAAGCACACACGCCCTCTCTTCTCGACTGAGTTGTAGCCGATCACGTAGTACGTTTCCTCCTACCATTGCTGTCCCATATAGCCCTAATCTGGTCGAACAGTTGAGTTTCTTCTTTTTTCTCCCGCTTTTCTATGATAACCGTGTCGGTTCAAGTACCCCAAGGGGCTACTGGTGGCAGCACCATCCAAATCATCGATCCTACATCCGGCAGACCATTCCAGGTCCAAGTCCCAGCCGGCCTAAATCCAGGGGACACCTTCAATGTCGATGTACTACAATCATTTCCTCACACAATACTACCATCGTCACTCCTCAGCTTGGGCCGACCATCGTACAAGGCAAGCCTGTTAGTGGTCCTGATCAAGGCTACGGTGGGCCGTAATAACAACCACTACTGCTGTATAGCACGAGGTCACTCTGTCTCAACTTGCAGGCACCATTCGACCCAGGCCCCTCCCCAAACTGTCATCATCAACAGTGGCCCTGCCCAGAGCCCAAGCGCCGCAGATGCCGCTGGCTCTGCCGCTTGCTGTGCATGGTGTGCAAGTAGGATACCACTAAGCCGCTTAGTAGCTCTCCAGCGATCCTTTGTCAGGTATGCTAGCATGCTGTGCCCTCGGTCAGGCATGTGGCTAGTCCCATTCGATTCCATTCGATTGCTGCTGTCGTCACCCCATAGCCGGCAACGACTCCCCCGTCATTATAGATTTTCTGTTCACTAAATTCTAGAGTAGCACTGTCTACATCCCCGTACGTGTGCTTTCCTTCATTCAACTCGTTCCGATCTAGTCACTCCTTTGTCGGGTTTGCTATTCTACCGAGAACAACTCCGGACCTTCTGGCTTAGTTTTGGCAGTTACTTGGTAGCATTTGGTTGATATCCTTATAATGGCAATCTTAACAGTCCAAGTGCCACAGGGGGCTACTGGTGGTAGCACTCTACAGATTACGGATCCCGCCACTGGAAGGCCGATGCAGGTCCAGGTGCCGGCCGGTCTTAGACCCGGTGACACATTTAATGTAGAGGTAATGCTAATAGTAGTAGCGGTACTTGCAGTCGCCATTGCAGCAGTGTTCAATGTAGCATCCCTCAGGTTTCACCAGCAGTAGTGACTGCTCAACCGTACAACAACAGTGGCTATGGAGGCTATGATTCTTATGGGAACTCGTGAACATCTATTCTTAGCCACAATGTGAAAAACAATCACACCCTCAGATACCAGCACCCGCCTCATCAAACTGTCATTATCACAGACAGTAGTTGTCCACCGTCCGACGACAATGGTCAGGGAGCAGCACAAGCCGCCAGCTGTTGTCTTTGTCTTACTAGTAGGTCGTCTTACCTTCTGTTCTCCCTTATGCCTTTGCCTCTCAGCTATGCTCTCCTGTTGCCTCCTGGGACAGGCCATCGGATGAGCCAGTCTTATCATAAGGGATTTGCAAAGTCAAATTCAGGCGACCTCATCGCCGCTCCCACTTTCTCTACAGTTCCTGTCGAAAATACACTTCTCTGAAGGCGACAGAATTCTGTACATGCCTATTCTACTGAGCTACAGTCATCACGCAACGCGTTGTTCCTCTCTAGTGTAATCAGCTGTTTCTCTCACACACTGTTGCTCTAGCGTTACCAACAATGACAACACAAGGTCACATTCAGTCAGTCTTCGGGGTGGTTAAGTTGGAGCTTCGAAAATAGGGAGGGGGTAGCTCGAAGGTTCTTGAACGGGTGGT